TCCCTTTTCTGTGGGAAATGTGGATAGAGGTGATGTCATTCATTCCTATGGCTTTAAATTCCCTGTATTTATATCTCAAGCCCAGACTTTTCTCCGTAGTTCAAGCTTCTATATTCAATTCCTACATGAACAACTCTCCTGGTATTTCAAATTTAACTTCTCTGAAATTAAATTCTTTCTTCCTGCCTCTCCACCCCAACTTGCTTCTGCTCCTCCCTCAGCCTCCAACTCCCAATCTGTTCCTCCCTCAAACTTTCCTCTCTAAGTCAATGGCTTCACTAGCCTCACTACTAAAGCCAGAAATCATGTAGCCATCCTTGACTCAATCCTTTCTCTCATCTGCTATATGCAATCCATCATTGTATTAGTTCTTTCAGGCTGCTATAACAAAATGCCATGGACTGGGTAACTTACAAAGAACAGAAATTTATTTCTTACAGTTCTGGACACTGGGAAGTGTCCAGATTAAGATCCTGGCATATTTAGTGTCTGGTGAAACCCCTCTTCATAGATGGTCATCTCTTCACTCTGTCCTCACGTGGTGGAAGGGGCAAAGGAGCTCTGTGAAGCCTCTTTTATAAAGGCACGAATTCCATTCATGAAGGCTCAAACTTCATGACCTAATCACTTCTCAAAGGCCTTACTTCCTGATACCATCAACTTGGGGGTTAGAATTTCAACATGTGAAGTTTGGGGGGCATATTCAGTTCACTGCAAGCTCTATTCTATCATTAAAATCTATCTTCAATCCATCATCTCTCTCCCTCTACCTCCTCTGTTACTACTTTAATATATCACCATAATATTTCATCTAAGCTATTACAATGACTTTGGGTTTCCTAATTAGTATTCCCACTTCCATGCTTGCCCCCTTTCAATCCTTTCTCCTCAAAGTGGCCAATGATACTTAGAAAAATTCAAACCATGCATATAATTATCCTGCTTTAGATCTTTACTGGTTTTCCACTGGATCAGTAATAAAATAGAAGCACTTATCATGGTAAGCACTTCCCTACAAGATCTGGCTGAAAAAGCCTACTCAGATCTCATAATCTACCATTCTCTTCCCAGCTCAATAAGCTCCAGTTGCACTTGTCTTCCTTCTGTTCCTCAAACATGCCAAGATCTCTTTTGCTTTAGGATCTTTGTGCTTTGCCTGTGGTTCCCCTTCCTGGATTCATATGGTTGACTCGTTGCATCTTCAGGTCTTGTGATAAATGTTACCTAGTCAGGGAGATCTTCGCTAAGCTCACCAACTCCCTCTACCTTGTCATTGTTTTCACTTATAGCACATTTTTTTTCTCATAGCACTTACCTCATGCTCTAATTATTTAGTTTTTGATTTATTATCTGTTTTCCTTAGAAGAATTTATGTTCCATGAGATTTGGACTATGTACATATGTCTGCAATTAATATTTGTTGAATGAAAATCATGATTATTTGAATGGATGAATGAAAGCTTATTTATTCTTTGAACCCTGATTTTATGACAATAGGTTCTATATTATTTGCATTGTAACATTTTACTGATGAATCCATAGTGTTCCATGAACTTTTGTGATTGATACTAAGATGAAAGGATTTGCAGATTTTTAAGAATGTCATATATACATATACAAAATGATCATGAGGTTGAAAGAAATTAGTTTTACTTTTATAACAAAATCGTATGTATTATTGCTCAAATTTTGGATTAATTAAAAGATTATTTTCAATATAACTCTTTCTGCCTTCATCTCCCTATTCTTTCTTTCTCTGATTACTCAGGCAGGCAGGACTCTGGGCCCAAGTTGAGGACTAGTATTCAGATATGGGGTGAAGAACACTTTTTGGAGAGATATGCTCTGTTGAGATCCAATTCTGAAGAAAGTGTCTTGGGGAAATGCCAAGTTAAATTCCAGGCAGCCTGTTCACATGAATCATATAGCTGAAAAAGCAGCTCTGGATGACCCCCGAGGTGGAGCTGGGCAGAGCTGACTCCAGAGAAGTTAAAAGGAAAAGAGGGAAATGAGTCCAGAATGAGTTGCTGAAGTAGAGTTTAGATTTTGTCAGGTGTTTACCCCCTTAGGTAAACAAGATATGGTAAAAGGTGTTGACTCAGGACAATTAGCAATGAGTATAAGTACACAGCAGATCACACTTTGGGTTCCACTAGAGACAAGAGAATCCAAAGGGCTCTGAAAATCTTGACTCTTAATATTGTAGAACTTTCTATTCTTTTACTCCAATGTGAATACTCTTTCAATAATTAATCACTTGCCTCTTCCTTTTAAAATGAGTGCATCATACATGATCTATTTTAACTTTTGAGGGGTTTTTTTTGCTTGCATATCTAATCTCATTAACACAAATGTGGGTTGATGGCGTATTTGGTTGTAGTCTAAGTTTTTTATTTGAAGTGTTCTAATTTCCATACATTGGAGTATCAATAGTTATAATGAACATAATGTATGTGTGTATGTGAACATAATGTGTGATGAGGCCCTGGCATTTCCTTAAGTTGGGACCAACTCCATCCAAACATCAACCAGGAAAAGCCAGCAGGGATGGACAAGGATTATGCCTGCCTGCTTCTTCTCTTCATCACTTCCTTTTATTCTCCTTCCTTCGTTTATTTACTAACTCAATACATATATATTTATTAATCACTTACTATGTGTATTGCTCATTGTGCTAAAGTTACTTGCAAAACAAGAAAATATAAACTCTCAAAGGTCTCCCAATCAAGATTTTATTTGAACAATGAAATATACTCACATGAAAATATAAATATAGCATAAGAAGTGGTGCAGTTCTTATGATCTAAAATAATATTTTTCAAACTATAGGTTTTCCAGTTATCCTTTGCTGGGTCATAGAATAAATGTAATAAGTTGGGACTATACCAAGTAATACTAACAAAATAAATAGGAGACAATAGAGAAAATAAGAGTGTGTACTGCAGATGATATATGTTATCATAAAATATTTGGAGATGCATGTATGCCCTGTATGTCAATATGAAATGTATGACTTACTGCGGGACAGGGTTCAAAAAATGTTTGCAAGACACTATCCAGAGTAGTTTAGAGGAGAGACAGATTATTTTAACTTGAGTGATAAGGAAGGAAGACTTTTGGGGGCTGAAAGTACTTAAATGAGGTTTAGAGGAGATGGGATGACTTTTCAGATGAAAGAGCTGCAAAAAAAAGAATACTATAATTGTGAATTAAGTTATAACCAGAACAGAAAGTGAACTCTATAGAACCAGTTTATTCTTGAGTGAATGACTACTCCAGGACCATCTTTCCAGAAGCCTCTAGGACACACATGACCAATATACAGCTAAACCTATCTCTGATGCCACAGGAGAAACTTTGAACAGAGTTATTCCTATGAGGTCCACCACACTTAGGGTGATTCAAAATAGTCTTCTGTCCAACTGCTTGTTCCAAATAGTAATGTATTTAAAATACTGAGACTTTAAAAAAAAATGTGAAAGGCCTAAAGATAAATACCCAATTCAATAAATCGCAAGTGATATTTCCTTCTTCCTCTGCCACTTGTATTAAATTCACTTGTGACTTGTATTGGACAGTGGCTTCTCTGAGCTCTATGGTCTAATATTTATCGGACACAAATTCAAGGACTCAGAACAACTGATTTATTTTAGCATTTTTTTTTTGATACAAAAGAAGGAAATAAAAAGAATAAAAGCAGTCAGGGTGGCCTCTGGAGAAAGAAAGCTGTTGTTGCAGGAAGCTTGTAAGTTAATGAAAATTCACTGGGACTCAAGAGAGATGGAGAGAGGGGAGAAAGGAGATGGTGAGGGAGGGGGGAATAAAAACTCTTCCTTTGCAGCTGGCCCTCTCCCTCATTTGTTGCTCCAATAAGCAGTAATTAGGTCCTGAGCTAATGGTGTCAGCTGATCTGCTGTTTTTAGGCTAGACCCAGAGGAATCTCCATGGAAACCCTGCTGGAGTCGTCCCCCCACCTGGATGCTGCGTGCTCCTTTCCGCCACCTGGCTGCCGGCGGGCCCGCTGCTACCTCCTCCTGCCTCTAACCTGCAGCCTGCAGCATGCGCACTGCCCCCGGGATCCCTAAATGGGACAATTCTGCCCGTGACGTCAGCGCCCAGCCGTCTCCACAGAAACTTTTGTCCCATTGGCCAATCAGAGAGCTTGGAAGGGGCCGGGGAGGGGAGGGGGGAGGAGAGGGAAGTGGGAGGGGTGGGGGTGAGGGGAGAGGCGAGAGGTTTAGTGTGTGGAGCAGCTTGCGCTCCGCCCGGGCTGTCAGTCCCGGCTCCAGCCGCCGCGAGACCTTCCCGGAGACGCGCGCACACACAGCGCACCCCCGGCGCCCCGCACACCCTCGCTCCCTTGCTCACACACACGCGCGCACACTCAGCCTGGCCGAGCAGGAGCCACTGACCATTTTGCAAGTGCCGGGACCAGCTGCGGCGCGGTGGGCACAAACACCCCGTGTTCCCATTCGGGGCTTTCGTCTGGAAGACTACGACGAGGGAGAAGGTGGGCTGCGACGCGGACCAGGCACCGGGCACTGGTCGGGCAGCCTTCCTGGCACCGCCGCTCCCCGGGACGGGCGCGGGCCTCGGCGGAGAGTAGAATAAAGAGGAGCGGCCGCAGCCGCCGCGCGAGGAGGATGGGAACTCCCCTGTTTCCAGCTCTGGAACAGACGGATGGAAGTCCTGAATGGAGCAACTGCTGACTTCATTTGCTTGGAAAAATCGTCCAGGGGAACTCATATTTGGCTACTCTGAGCAGTGGAGGGGGTGTCCATGACGTGGCAGGGGGAAAACAGACAACCGAAACCTCCCGTGTGAACTGCAAACTGTGTCCAAGCAAAGGGAAAATGATCTCTCTACATATTTCAATTTCACGCAAAGGGTTTCAAGCATCTGTATCATAAACTTACTTCTATGTCTTGTACCCACTTCAGCAGAAACCAGAGGAGTCCTGTCTGGGGACCCCATCATTATCCAGGAGACCCGCCGCCAGCAGCCTGCCTTCGTTTACCCACGTCCCCCTGGAGCGGATGTCTGGTTGGGGAACTACAGTTTATCCTGTAGAACTATGGCCAAATCTCCATGAATGCTTTGCTAATTTCCAGCACTTTACTCCCGGGACCTACATACGGGGCTGGAATTTATTCCAAATGCGTCCGAAGAAATGACCTTTTAAACCGTTTTTAAAATATCTTTTTAAAAAATTCCTGAAAACAGGATTTGATAGGCTTAAAAACATGACAGGTAAGAACTTTCTCTCTTTCTAGTCCCAGACCGCCCGTCGCAGGAACGGCGGGAGGAGAGCCCGGGGACCCGTGTGCCCTTCGAGGCTTGCAGGCGCTCGGCCCGCGGCTGCTTTCGGGAGAGGCACAGCCCTTGCTTCTGGACCACGGGGCCGGCGCCTGGGGAAGCTGCTGGGGCGCGCGGGGAGGCGGCGCTGCGCTCCACCTGCCCTGCCCTGCCCTGCCCCGGACGCAGCCTGGGGGCGAGGCGTCGAGGGACCAACCCAATTCAATATTCGGAATTTTAATAAACCAAGGAATGGGATTTTAATTATTCAAAAACCTGGCTCCTCTGGACCAGATGCTGTTGGGATGGTCCTGGTCACACAGTATTAAAGAGACCTATCTCTAAGAGGACGGGGGGAAAAAAGCGTCCTAGACATCCGCTGCAATTTACGAATGAACCAGACTTGGTAGCACAGGGCATTGATTGCTGGTGCCCAACCGGACGGACCCTCCTCCCCTCTCTCCCCATTCCTCCCCCCACCCACCCGAGGCAGCCTCCTGCGGCGGCGGCCGGGACCTCGCGTCCCCGCATCGTGGCCGGGGCTGCATTTTTCATGAGCCCGGGGTGAACAGGTGCGAAGTGCGGTGGGAGCCTCCGGCCAGCGGCCGGGCGCGGGGAACATGGAGAGCGAGCGCGACATGTACCGCCAGTTCCAGGACTGGTGCCTCAGGACTTACGGGGACTCAGGCAAGACCAAGACGGTGACCCGTAAAAAATACGAGCGGATCGTCCAGCTCCTCAATGGCTCCGAGTCGAGCTCCACGGACAACGCCAAATTTAAATTCTGGGTCAAATCGAAGGGCTTCCAGCTGGGCCAGCCGGACGAGGTCCGCGGGGGAGGCGGCGGCGCCAAGCAAGTGCTCTACGTGCCTGTCAAGACCACGGTGAGTGACTCGCCTTCCTCTGTTATTTGTCTGCCGGAGCCGCCCGGCGGGGAGGGAGGAGGGGGGAGCGAGGGGGAGCCGCGAGCCTCCGTTGGCTCGTGTGGCCCCCACCTTCCTCAACCCCCTCCCCAAGTCGTCCCCACTCGCATTAGCCAGGCGCGTTTTCCCCACCGTGGAGTCTTTGTGGTCCTTTATTTTAAAGCGGCAGCGCACATCCAGAGCCGACCGCCCTCCCCGCCTCCTGGCTCCCGGACCTGCTGCTGGAGCTTCTTTCCCGGGTCGGGCGGCGTCCGGCGTCCTCGGGCTGGGCCATTGTCCCGTGTCCTTCACCGCGCGCCTGGCGCGTGTCCCACCGCCACCACCGCGCATAAAGGCCAGGCTAGACCCCCAGGCGCGCGCTCGGGGAACCGGCGATTCTGATCGATCGATAGTCTACAGCGTCTCCTTATTGGCACACAGCCCGAATGTGGCGCTAGCTGGGGGGACGTGGGGTTTTCCCCAGGACACTATCGGGTTTTATTGTTAGACCGCAGCCCGGGAGACGCGGGGCAGTTCGAACGCCTTGGTCGCTCCCACAGACCGTTGCCAACGACTGTTTAGATTGTAGATAAGGTCCTGGAGATTCCTCCTCCCCGCCCCCCGTTTCCTTCCTCACTCCCCCCGTCCACAAATAAAGCTGCAGCTAGAAGATGAACAACAAAGAGAGATGGGTTTGGGCGCGATCAAATGGTGTGTGTGTGTGCTCCTCTTTCTGGGGTAGCGCTAGGCTCATGGCCACAGCGCCCCAGCCCAGGCTGCGAGGCACTGGCGGGGAGAGCCCAGTCTGTCTCAGCTTCTCGCTGCGGACGCTGGAGGGGCTGGGGAGCGGCAGCAGCGTCGATTTTCTTTGCAAGAAGATGGGAACTGTGGGCTACAAGTAGGATTGCAGTTCAGATGTATAAGACCTTTCTGCATCATGCTACGGTGGGTACTCGCCTGGCGTAGGGGTGGGGGAAGGCTATCTGGCATCCTTTGTATTTTTTTTTTTTTTTTGCCTCGCGTTGGGTTTCTTGAGCATTTGCTCCTTTTTTTTTCCTTTCATATTGGCAACTGTTTCCCCATGCAATATCCTGGAGGATGCTTAGAAAGGAGACGTCGTGAAAGCTATTGTAATCTCTCTAATGGAAGTATATTAAATTGGAAATATGTGCATGAAAGGTATTTTTTTTTTCCAGATCATTATTTAGAGGACTCTTAGGTTTGGAAATCAGTTTATGGTGTCCTGAGATTAATTTAGAAATTGTTGTTTGAAGGTTGTATATTTCTTTTGGAATTTATATAGAAAGTGGGAAATGGAAATAAAGGTGAAATGGAAACACATTAAAAAAGTTCTGTTGTTTTTTTTCTTTAATGTACTATTGTTAGGTTTCTAGGAAGTAGATCTATAAATGTAGTCTTCTCCTTTAACATGTGGCACTGCTAAAGACAATGGTGAGATTATTGTCTGGCTTTAGTAAATAATGAGGACTACATTGGCATGAATTAGATCTGAGGTTTATTTACATCTGGATGAGCCAGAAGTCTGTTGTAGAGAATGAAGTGCTTTGAGTCCTTTGTATTGGAAGTAACATTATGAACCTGATGTAAAAAATAATTTATTGTTAGACAAATTAGAATTCAAAACATAAGAACTTATTTTCCTCTGGACAGTACTAAGTTAACGGAATGAACAAAATAATCATTTAATATATATTTACTTAAAGTATACTTTAATAATATTGTATATGTTTTAAAGAAACATTGCTAGTTGTGAAGTTTGTTTTTCACCCTCTTATGTTAAACTTAAGTTCCTCTGTTTCATAATCAGATTCACTTGTGTATTGGTACAATGAATTTATACTTGTATGGGGTTAGCTACATCCAATATGTGAATTAATGCATGTGTCATTTTAAGACATTAATTAAAAACTCTAACAAATTCTGTAATAGTTTCAGATTATCATGAATGCCAGTTATTCAAACTAGCATTCATATGCTCAGATACTCCTATTTTCAGTCAAAAATTATTGCAGAGTTAAAGAATTACTGCTAAGACTTCTATTATAGAGTGACAACTCCGAGGGTATTAATAAAATAACACGTGTTTCTCTTTTCAGGAAAAATATATATTTATGGGAGATCTAATTCTTCAGGTGATGGTGATATTCTTAGATAATGGTTTTCATGTAGTTAAGAGCTCTGCTTTTCATTCAAGCCTGTTTTGAAATATTGAAGAGGTTTTTAATTTATGAGCTCTTCTATCGCTCTTTATAAAGATTTTATACTGCTCCTGACATAGAATTATAGGCTCCTCCTTCTCTGAGAGACAGCCAATCATCATTTCAATGAGTTAAAAAATAAATAAAAGGTCCCCTTTTACCATGTGTTTTCCCACATTTTGACTTATCTTTTTCTTAAACATATGTTGATTTTTCTTTATAATGGTGGGAGTAAAATCACCAAGAAGACAAAAAAATATATTTTCTTTTAATTTGAAGGCATATATTGATCAAAACAAAATACTGTATTTGAATGGTATTTTCAAGTAGACTAAGAATCGTCCTACTTGAGGTTTGAGGGTTCTCAGCTGGCTTTGCTGTCAGTGAGAGATGCTTTGCTCCCGATGTTGCAGTAACCCACTGCTGCTGATAATTAGACATCATTACTACTGCGAAAGGGGAAAGAGAAAAGGGGAGAGGACAGGCTGAGGCTAATTAACTGTTCTAGTTTAATGAAAGAAAAAGAGACTGATAGCACCTGGGAGGCTCTACTAGAACAGAGTAGACACATTACATAGACTTAATTGAAACAAGACTATCCTTCAGTCTCATAGTTAAAGAAGCTTCTACATCTTATTTTCCCAAAAGAAGAGATGTAGCTTTGCAAATACTCTCCCCTGCTAAAGTCTAAACTTAGCTGATGATAAAATCAAGCAGGTGACAGCTGACTTAAAATAAAGACTACTTGACTACTGGAAAAGATAAACATGCCCTTTAATATTTATCCTGGCCAGGTCCAAAGCTGAGGGGACATATCTGTCACTGGTGTTTAGATTGCTCTGTGATTGGGGAGATACTGTTTGGTCACCAAGCAACAACATCCTGCAACTCAGCCATTTTAAGTCCGGAGTGGGACCTGTGCTTTTGTGCGCCTGCTCATAGCATGAGCATATAGTGTGTTTAGTATCCCATCTGTGGTTTTTCCATACTACCACTATTTATATTTCTTTCATTGATGGTGTCAAAAATTTAGAAGAATGAAGTGATGAATGACTTAAAACAGCTCTGAAAAATATACAATAAATGTCTAACATTGATTATAAGAAACTTCTAATTAGTACTAAATTCATTTAAGTATGGTTACTCTACTTCTTTGATAGTTCTCATGTAGTTTGTTTCTAGACACTTTTGATCTTGATTAACATTTTGTTTTCTGGCAACAATTAGTTGAAACATCACACTTATAATTTAAATTACCAAAACACATTATACCATTTGATATTATGAATTATAAACTTAGAAAATAACCAGAAATTTTTATTAAACTCAATTTTTTAAAAGCCCACTATGTTGTATAAAACATTAAGAAATTTAGTAAGCTCATGTTTTTGTCTTTCAGTCTCAAGCAAGGAATGTAACTAGTACCAAAATTGCATAATTAAATAATGTAAGTAATACTCGACCAATATTTGTAAGAACAGACACAAAGGTCAAAATTTTGCCTTTCTTGTATTTTTTCCTTATAATTTATTCAAATACAAATCATAAAATGAATCTTAATCCAGAAAGAAAAATACATTATCTTTAGTTATGTCATTTATAAATGATGATTTATTCAGTTCTGCAATCTGTTTTCATGTTATTCTTGCTGTGCATACTACTAATTGATTACTGTACAGTGATTAGAATGAATATTCATGGACTGGTTCATAAACAGTTACCGTTTTGTTCTCTGACTATGGTTTTGGTTATAAGTCCTTCATGCTATACCAGAGTGAAAGACATAATACCTCACATCGAGTCTGTATACCTTTCCACCTGGTCCAACTTCATGCCTGATGCACACATCACATATATTAAACTTTGATCTGGCATTTGCTACAGAGCCAGCTATCTATTATGATACTTTGTATCTATGACACAGAGACAAATCACAATAGTAGTTACTGAGATCGAAGCACGTTTTTGCTTATCTTCTAAATTTCCATAGTGGGCATTGCTGCTGGTAGCCAATGCATCGTTCTCTTCATTAAAGTGCTTTGGGAAGACACTGTGGCATAGAATTTTGGGGTCAAAGAGATCCCAAGGTGAATCTCAGCAATGTGGCATCTTAGCTGACTTTAGTGGTTTCTTGTGGAGTTGTTGTGAGGAATGTATCACCTATGACAAGTCCCTAGTATGGTGTCATTGTCAGCTCTTAGAGAATAGTGGAGACCTTTAGAAGAGGCTACTCTGGCTTAAATATTAAGGGGCAAGGGACTCATAAAGACAGTGCCCCCTGAATATAAAGAGGAAATTTACTTTGTTAGTATATGAAGACTACCCTACACTTATTTCCTAAGGTGCCAGTTCTTGATTTTATCCTTGGTTCTTTCTTGTCCTATTAGTAACCACAATGGGGGCGGAGCAAGATTCAGCACTTATGTATATTCTTTTTATAAACTTCCTGAGCCAGCTGGGATTTTACTCCTCAAGGGTTTACTCCATGGGATAGAGGAAAGATGAAGAAGAAAATACAGGGATTTAGCAGCAGAACTTTGAAGAGTTTCAATCCTATGGAAAGATCATAAAGTCCTCTTATTAATGACTGTTGTATTTGTTAAGCCTTTTTTGTTTAGCTAGGAAATATTAATGTGAATCTAATATGTTTTAGGTTATATTAATTTACATAATTGTTGGATGACAAGATAAAATAAACTTCATGGCCAGCATAGATGGCAAGAAACATGGCCTAGTGAGCAGAGTATAGATTTTAGAGCATAATTTAAATCCTGGCTCTGATGTTTACTGGAGATGTGAGGTAGGGAAACTTTCTTAACTAAATACACAATTTACTCTTTGTAAGATGTCAGTAATAATACTTGATTTAATAGTTTTGCATAATAATATATAATATATACTAACATGTGATATATAATATGTGCTAATATCTATAAATTTATATGTATATGTATATATATGCACACATATATATGTACAGATATGGTACCATGCCATATATATGTATGTATACATATATGTGTGTGTGTGTATATGTATATATATATAAAAGCTTGTGGTATATGTCTAGCACATGGTAAATGCTGAAAAAGTAGTTTTAAGTATTTTATGTATTTTTTTTTTTATCTTTGAGACAGAGTTTCGCTTTGTTGCCCAGGCTAGAGTGAGTGCCGTGGCGTTAGCCTAGCTCACAGCAACCTCAAACTCCTGGGCTCAAGCGATCCTCCTGCCTCAGCCTTCGGAGTAGCTGGGACTACAAGCATGTGCCACCATGCCCGGCTAATTTTTCCTATATATTTTTAGTTGTCTGGCTAATTTCTTTCTATTTTTAGTAGAGACGGGGGGTCTCGCTCTTGCTCAAACTGGTTTCGAACTCCTGACCTCAAGCAATCTGCCCGCCTTGGCCTCCCAGAGTGCTAGGATTACAGGCGTGAACTACCGCGCCCGGCCAGTATTTTAAGTATTAACAGAACAAGAACATCATAATGTAATTATAATTTGATATATATTAACTCAAAATCACACCACAACTTGGAGTTAAAATACAAGGTACATTTGTATGTATATATTACTCAGATAGTCTGCTTACTCCATTTTTGGAAAATAAAAATGTCTTTGTTTTTGTAAAGGTGATGCCTTCTCATTATTTAAAAAATATAAGTGAAAAGGAAAGAAAAAAATTTAAAAGTCACACCGAATCTACCATCCAGATACAACCGCCATCATCAGCGAATTCCAAACATAATTTTAGATGTCTATCTATGTATACCAAATGAAGATAAGATATAATAATCAATAGTTATATACGGACAGGCAGAAATAATTTTCCAAAACTAAAATGATCATATGGCAATTTAAATAAGAATAAATATATAATATTTCCAAATATAATAAAAGAAGAAGAAATACATGAATTCAGTGAATTGTCAATAGATAAATGTTTCTTCTCAGAGATATTTATTTCTGAAGATAATATAAAATATTGAGAAAAACATTAAGAGACTGAATTACATTTATTTTGCCAACTGCAAGTTTCAATTTTATATAATATCATTAATTTTCTCCAATAATAAATGAGAAACAAGTATATTTTCACTTCTATCTCTTTGTTGCTTCGATACTGCTTTATATTACATTGCATTTATTATAATATATATGATTTTATATTCATTATATATTATACTTATGTTTGCATTGTCAAGATTTTTGATATTTTATGTCAGAGTATGTAATTTCATTCCTACAATTTTTTTGCTGTTGTTCATTTTTAAATGCTTATCTCTTCTTTTACCTGGTTTTCTTTACCTCTGAATTCTTTGATTAGCTCTATTTCCTGATCATCATCTTTTTTTTTTTCTAAAGCATTCATGCATTCTATTCTTTGAGAATGTTCGTTCTTTGCCTTTTATACCTGTATGCAGTTGAGAATGTTCATCCTTTGCCTTTTATACCTGAAGGACAACTAACCAGGAGTAGATTCTTTCTTTCACTCTTTCCCCTAGAACATTGTAGATACTGTGTGTGCTGTGTGAAATTCCAAGGCAAAACTGGCTTTCTCCAATTTCATGAATTGTTTACTTCTTTATCCCTGAAATGAAATCATTTTCCTAAGACATATTTGAAACATTGTCTCACTCTGTATTTCTCCTGGGTAAATGTGCTCCTGTTCATGGCTTTGGTCCTGTCTGTGTTCTGGTACTTAATGCATATCTTCTGAAGTTCAGATCTGTACAGTTGACCCTTGAACAACACAGATCTGAATTGTGATGGTCCATTTACATGTAGATTATTTTCAATAAATACCTTGGAATTTTTTTGGAGATTTGTGATAGTTTGAAATAACTTTCAGACAAACTGTATAGTCTAGAAATATCAAAAACTTAAGAAAAATTAGGTATGTTATAAATGCATAAAATATCCATAGATACTAGTTTATGTCTTAAGTGACAGTTTTTGTTATTAGTAAGGCTTTTGGTCAACATTAGACTATTAGCAGTTAAGTTTTCAGGCAGTCAAAAGTTGTATGTGCATTTTTGACTGCACAGGGGTGAGCACACCTAATTCCAAAGCTGTTCAAGGGTCAGCTATATTTTGTATTTTCTATTGTTACCACCAAGATATCCCCAAGTATCTCAAATTGAGCATATCCAAAAATGAATTTTTCTTCTCTCCATTTTCCCATCCTAGCTCCTCCAAGCTGACACATCTTTTTTTAATCCCTTTTTTCCATCGATGGTAGTGCAATTTGCCTACTCATACAAGCCAAACATCTGTGTGGCAGGCTTGATTTCTCCCCTTTTCTCCCTGTTTATAGTCAAAACTTGACAGAATATTGCTGATTCTACCAACTTAATGTCTCCTGAAGCCATCAGTTTCCTACCATTCTATCCATCCCATATTATCCTGTACCATACCAGAAAATAATGCCTATTGTCTGATAATTTGGTAATTTTCCCCAAAACTGTTTTAAATGAAGTGAGTTAATCTCTGATACCTGGCATAATGTGTGATGCATTGTTGGTGCTCAATATTAATGGAATAAGTAAAAATCACTTCCCAGTCTGATACCACAAGATGGGACATTCTTAATTAATACCATACAACAGCTTCTTATTCCCCACCACATAAAGCTTTTTAATTTTATCTGTATCTATATCTGTCTGTCCATCTGTCCACCCATCCATCCACCTAGTCATCTATACATCTGTTTTAACTGTGGCAAAAAACACACAACATATAATTCACCATATTAATAATTTCATTTATACAATTACGTAGTGTTAAGTATACTCACATTGTGCAGTAGATCCCCACAGCTTTTTTTATGTTTCACAACTGAAACTCTGTCCATTAAACAACAATTCCCCATGTCCCTTTTCTTCCAGCCCCTGGTAAACTATAATTTTGCTTTCTGTTTCTATGAAATTGACTACTTTAGATTCCTCATATAAATGGAATCACACAGTATTTGTCTTTTTATAACTGACTCATTTCACTTAGCATAATGTCCTCAAGATTCATCCCTGTTGTAATAATACGTGATGAGATTTCCATTCTTTTTAAGGCTGAATAATATTCCATGGTTTGTATGTGTATGTGTGTGTGTATATATATAAATATATCCCATTTTGTTTATTCATTCATTTGTTGATTGCCTTTGGGTTGCTTTCACTTCAAGATAATTGTGAATAGTGCTGCTATGAACATGGGTTTGCAAATATCTTTTCAAGATACTATTTTCAATCCTTTTGAACATATACCCAGAAGTGGGCTTGCTAGATCATAGGATAGTTTTGGTTTAAATTTTATGAGGAACTTCCATACTGTTTTCTATAGAAGTTGTATCATTTTACAGTTCTACGAAAGGTGTACAAGGATGGGAACTCTTTCAGGCTAAGAAATGCTGACTTTGTTCCTCATCAAGAGTTCTTTGATGAGCATAGTTCCTCTTTTGCCAATTGCAAGTATTGAATGTAGTGTAATTAGTAATAACGTATCAATTATTTACATTTATCACATTCTTACTATAGGTTAATGATTGGGCTAATCATATTAAACAAAATGCCCCTTTGGTCTTTACAGTACTTCTATGGTATTAACACTTTTTTTGTATTATACACAGGTGAAAATTGTAGTGTAAACTAAGGTGAACTTCTAAAAATCACACAGCTTGGGGTGAGAAACCATTTCAATTGGATTCCAGAGTCCTTGCATTTAATGGCTTGTCTCCAAACTCTTAAAATAATTTACCCAATTGCTAAAAAACTTGAATGTTGTCCCAATATGTACATTTTTATTAAGTACATATATATACACACCACTATTCCTATACTTACCCTGTTATAAAATATATTTAAAATATAAATATATTGGGCTGAGACTAAAATATAAATCCAAGTTTTAATATTTCCCTCTTCACCTCAATAGCTTATCTCATGCACTCCCTGGTGTATGCGTACACCAGTTTGGAGACAGTTATTCTAATCCTTAATCCAGTATTGCCTAGCAATAGAACATTGTGGTTAAGACCTTACACTTCAGCTAAAATATTAACTCCTGAATTACAGGGGTGTCTCTGTAATTAACTATCACAACATTAAAATAATACCTTAACCAGACAGACCCATAACATCTATGGAACAATTAT